AAATTCGACAAAGGAATTCAAGGTATTAAAGGCAGGGTTTTTTTCAGAGGAGAAATATCGCATTCGAGCAGTGCAGTTTGAATTTGACTAAATTACTAAATGACAGTAATTACTAAAACCTTATGGTTTTAGTAATTTTTGGATTTTGAATACACTCTTCTAGAATTCATAAAAGTTCCACTTACCTCTATCCTTTAAGATACTCCTCAAATTTGCAATCGCAATTTTTTAGGGATTCTACATTTCGAGCTCCTTGCAACTTGGGAGAAAACGGGAAGTTTTCAACTCTCATACCTTTCATGGTAACTTTATGTAAGGACATATTTTTTTATTTACTAACTTAAAAACTCAAGTACTACAACAGTACAGGAAAACAAGACCGGATTTATCATACGCCTATATAGACTATAACCTTGGGGGCGCAAATTTTTTGAAAATTCCAAAACGTAAGTACCTACGCGTCTTTTGTCACATTTCACTTTAAAAAAAAAAACAGTTCTTTTTCCTTGCGTTAAACTGTTCGAGACGGATCGCCTTAAAATATTTTGAAATCATGTTTTTTGATAGTAAATTAAATATTATAGTAAATTAATATTTTGAAATCGTGTTTTTTGATAGTAAACTTTTTCCCTATTACCTTACATCTTCCATCTGGGGAGGGGAGTTGTTTTTCGGACAACCCCCCGCGATAGCACCTGCCTTTAGGGGCGGCAAAGAAAGTTCAGCCTATAGGAGCGATAAGAATGTAGATCCGGCCCTGTATGACAGTGTGGCAACATGTCATCTTTCCTTCGATAAAAGTCTGCAGACATTATTCAAACTTTGCGATAACCTCTTCTCAAAAGTTGGAAAAAGTGGAGAGGGTCATCAGACAGTAAAAATAGGACCCAATTAGTTGAATAGAATGAATTCAAAAACTTGTTCTCGGCTCCAAGCATGTGCGGGTAATTTTAAGATAGCGGGAATGGTAGTGTCGTCAGTTTGATTTTTAATGATTAAAAAAATGTAAGGCACATTAATTGAAATCGTTGAAAATTAATAATCATCGTTAAAAATTGTTGAGGATAGTGGCCTAGCTTGGGTCATAAGTTCATGCAGAAAAGTGAGAGAAATAGTCAATTGGACTTTGCAATTTGGACCTATAAATTCCGGCCTGGTTTAAAAACAACGTATGTGCCATTAGTTTCCCTATGCACATAAGTGTTTTTTTCAGATGAGCCAGAATTTATAGGTCCAAATTGCAAAATGCGGTCCAATTAGTCAACGCAAATCGACACATTTATAGATCACAAAATGTCCTGTCGGTTACGTGTAATTAACAGAAAAAAATTGTGTATCAACGTGGTTACCGACTTTCCTGGATTTCATTAAGAAGTCATTTTCTTCAGAGGTAAAATTATTTGCAAAGGTAATACAGTTATATTTTTCAAATAATTCAAAAGAATCAAAATTTTCAGCGTCCTCACATTGACAACGATGAAAAATCAACGCAGTCAAACTATGATACTGATTTGACTGGTGCACTACGATCGTAAATATTATAAAAGGATAAAGAAAATTGATATGAAAATATAAATTGATAAACAATGTATTTACATAAAGTAATCGTAAAAAATATATAATACATAAATCGCAGGTAAAATTGTTCTCTTAAGGCTAAAAATTGATCGTCAGCACAATTTGCAATGAATTGAAAAAAGACAAACAGAAAAATAAAATTGTACAAAAATTTCTCGCAATTATATTGCAAAACTTATAAAATAAAGTTACAAGTTCGTTCTTTACTTCTGAAAGTAAAAAAGTGAAACAGTAACCGAACTATAAAACCTAATTAATTTTATATTGCCACACAATAATTATTCTGATGAGTTTTTTAAACCAAAAAATGAAGGAAACTTTATTTAAAGGTTGCCATAACGCTGTAACAATTTCTCTGTAAGGGGCACGGAATAATTCATTACTTTGCATTGTTTCGAATAGCTAAATGTTGAGTATTTATGGGGTTATGCTCAATATGATAACAGTTGTACAGCAACATAAACTAAACGCAGCATTATAACAGAACCGAAAATCGATTTTAGTGAGGCAAGCTACTTCACCGAGAATCGATTATTTTACATACATTTAAATGGTGGAAAAACAGAGTTTCCAACCAGTGGCGTGGCGTGAAGGATCGATTATCGATATTTCTCCATTTGAAGCTGTAGTATAGAATCGATTATCAAGGTGTTCGTTGAGAACACCTTGATAATCGATCTTTTTCTATAGATTTAAATGGCAGATCAATCGATGTATCGCAAAGCACGCCACGCCACTGTTTCCAACCCTTAAGAATCGTCCCTGATTGAGCGCAGCGTTTACAAAAAAGAACCAGGCTCTGGGACCAAAAAGGTCACCTTCGTCAGGCAAGGAGATCATAGGTTTTTATCATAGGTTTTTTATGGGTTTTTTATTTTTAGGTTTAGGTTTACAGTGGCGTGACGTACTTTGCGATTTATCGATTGATCCGCCATTTAAACCTATGGAAAAGGATCGATAAACAGAGGGTTCGCAACGAACACCGTAATAATCGATTCTTTACCATAGCTTCAAATAGGGAAACATCGATAATCGATCAATTACGCCTCGCCACTGATTCAATGAACGAGCTGAGTCGGACTGAGAAGAAGGTAACTCCATCATCATCATTCAACTGGAGATTCCTAATTATTAAGGATCATTCATAAAATAACTACGTTGGGATAATGTTGAAAATAAGAATTTTAGACCCCCCTTTCTCTCTCCTCTGCATCACGAACCTACCTCGCGGCTGTGCATCCCTCCTGAAAAATTAAGTCACTCTTTGATGGACCCATCCCTTCTCTATTAATGTCATAAATCGGTTCTCTTTATGGGAACTTTCGCTGTTCACCGACATACGTGGTTTCAGAGTTTAGCAATCAACATAGTTAAAATGAACGAATGTCAATCGATGATTTGGCTCCCTTACTGGATATGAATGTCTTAGGACGTTAAAAAAAAAAACTTGGTCCCAGAATGTAAAATTGTAAACTACGAAGTTTCGGGCAAACCTTGTGTTTATCAAGTTGACGTAGAAAGAAATGCTTTAGATTGGTGCATTCAAAGAACAAAAAAAATCTCACATAAATGCATTCATCTAGAGTTTAACGTATAGTGAGCAATCTGAGCAAGGCTTTTCATCAAACGGAATTCCTGGTCATAAGGGTGTTTCTATACATTTAATAGGGATTTCTGTTGGTGATAAGTTTTAGGGCATTTTACCACCTTTAAGTCACTAGGCATCAGACACGGGATGTCCAATAACTGTCCTAAAAAACAATACCGGGGCTTTCAGGGAAACTGAACATTTCCTCAAGGAAGAATTGTTGAAAAGTGATGGTGGGAAAATTTGCCTGTCTTTTTGTTGAAGTCGTTATTCTGCTAAGGTAACTTGTGTGATTTTTCTACGTTTTACACAGAAGGAAGTGACATTGAGTAAAAATAACCGATACAATAAATTTTTTCAGAGTAGATATCCCCATAACTTAAACCAAACATAGGCAATTGAAACGTGAAAAATTAGTAGGAACCTTGATAAAGGGTAAAACTTTTAAGAAATAGAAAATAATCAGATCTGAAAAGTCCACAAGTCATTTTAAATAAGAAAGGCCGTAATCTTGCAATGATATTCGGCCTGTATTCATAGCCGTGGTAACTTTACGGTCTCTTTAGGCCATGGAAAATACACTAATTAAAAAAACATCAATGCTTAATGGAAAACTATGAAAATAGCTCTAAAGCGATTGATAAAAATCACTTTAAGGCACACGTAAGGTCACTTTAGGTTTTAAATCTCCTATAACATATTCGTTTCAATGTTTGAGTAAAACTTTGGTAAAAAATTTTGAATTATGATATGTTACTCTGATGCAATCAGTTACTTACGGATTCAATATGATTATGATGTCTTATGGGACTGGGACCTGAGAAACAAATTCGTTCCAGATAATAATCGTAGCAGATCGAACGGATGTTAGAAATCATAGGCGGATCCAGACACCACAAAGGGGGGGGGGGAAGTCAAGGGGGCTTCTCCAGAAATTTTTCGAAATTTTACAGCACTCGATATGCAGTTCGAGCCAATTTTGACAGGAATATGTATAAAATAAGGGTCAAATATACGGGTCCTTCATCTCTCCTTTGTTCCTTACTTTTTTCCTCGCAATCATTTTTCTTACTCTTTTATTAGGCGAACGGGGGGGGAGGGGGGCCCCACTCCCCCTACCCCTCTGGATCCGCCTATGTTAGAAATACTGTTCTCAACGTTGGAAACTGCAAGACAAGACTGAAATTGTGTCAACGTTGGATCAACGTTTTGTGCATTTGTTTCATTGGGTCGGTGAATCGTTTGCTCGCAGATATCCAAAAGATGCCGGTTATTACCGATCCAATAGCTTTCGGACCATTCAACTAGATGAGAATTTCAGATGGGGACGCAAAGCAAGAAAATTAACCAATCACGTTACATCATTAACAGTTAAATCCTATCACGCCTCATCGACGAATTTTAACTTTAGGACCTGAAACAGGCCCGTTTTCGGTTCTGATGAAACTCAACGGGGATTCTACCGGTGCTTGCCTTTAACAACGACCACATTTCGGTTTTAGCCTCGGTGGGACCGCAACGTCACACTCTCGCGCGAAGGGAAAACGCGTATAAACATTCGAACGTTGGGTAATTTACTATGATAAAACACATATCGACGGTGAAACTACCAAACCACGTATCTCGTTTGCGGTGTTTAAAAATCTACGCTCACATTTTATTTATTTGAAGTAGACCAAATCAATATCATTCCTTGAAATTTTCACGGAAGTTTCTCCGCACAAAGAGGAAAAATCACAGAAATTTTCAAGACTGGACGTTAAGTAGTTTTTCATTTAAAAAATAAATTATGACAGGAAGTCTGCGACGTCGCAAACCGAGATACGTGGTTTGGTAGTTTCACCGTCGATATTCTCTAAGAAACTTATGAATATTTATCCTCCAATTTTTCAGAGAATTTCCCTGGTAATTTAATCTGAATCATCTAAAACAGTCGCAGAAATATTATCATGATTTCCTTAAAAATGCTCTCTTCATCGAGAGAAATTCGGCAACATTCGAATGTTTTTACGGCGTTTTTCCTTGGCATGGCAGCACAATTCTATCGAATTCTCTTTAGCCTGGGTCACACGATCAAATTAAAGTTAGTCAAACTAGCGAGGTTAGAGTTCTGATTGGTTCTGCGAATACCAATCAGAGAAATTGAAACGCTGGGTGCAAAAAGGGCATTTCCTGATCACAGTGTCTCAAAATCTCAGCTAAAGTTTCATGCATTATAATGAAAGCAAATGTATGTAATTTGTCGTAGCTTTACAGAATATTTTTTATGATTTTACAGTGCTGAAAATGTAAAATTCCAGAAAATTCACTCAATTGTTTTTTCTCTCAAATAAAAATTAGCCTCGGAGATTCTGAAACACCGCAACCAAGAAATGCCCTTCCCCCAACGCCTCAATTACTGTCCCCGGTATATTTCGAAAGTCTAGAGATCTCAGATCGGTATTGGCACAACGAGTCAGAATCCTGGCCTCGCCGGATTGACGGCTCAGTTTGATGGTGTGACCCAGACGTGTGTTTTTCTACTGGTCGGAGTAGTTATCACAAAAGAAGGGGGAGTGGTACCCCTAACTAGGAGGCGGCGCCTGATTAAGGTACATATGATGGTAATAATTCTGAGGACTAGTGACACCGGGCTCGGAGCAGAGGTGCTGCTGCTGGTGGTGGGCGAGGTACTCGGACATGGCATGCGCGGAGTTGGGCCAGTAGGGGGTGCGGATGGAGGAGCTCAGCGAGGGGGCCATCCCCATGGACGTGGGCGAGTGGGCCGTCGGGGCGTAGGGGTTGTACGTCGGGTAGATGGAGTTGTAGATGGCGTGGTGGTGACTGTGCTGGGCCACCTTGGAGCCGATCTTGTTCCTCAGGATCCGGCTGATGGAGGAGACGGAGGGGACGTTGGTGCGGTCGCAGATCCCGCGGGAGAGGAGCCGGTCCCGGATCTCCCAGGCGAAGATTCCGGAGTCCTCCTGCTTGAGCTTCTTGATGAAGGCCACCACTTTGGGGGTGGTGACGCGGGGCTTGCTCCCGCCGATGGCGCCCGGGAGGATGGAGCCGGTCTCGTGGTAGCGGGCCAGGATCTTGGAGACGCACCCGTGGGAGACCCGCAGCTGCCGCGAGATGTCGCACGGTCGGATCCCCAGGTGGGCCAGCTCCACGATCCGCCGTCGCACCTTGTTCGGCAGCGGTCGACCGTTCACGAACAGGCCGCCCAGTTGGTTCACCTCGCCATACGACTGCCCGCAGCTATCGCCGTTCCCTGAAACAAAGTAAGAAAAAAAAAACCAGTTAAAAATATTATTACTCAGAGCTCTTTCGACCCCTAAATTTTTCATTTCATTTTCATCACCGTTCAGTGGAGCTCTTGCAGAAGCATAGAGGACATAGAGTCGTAATGTAAATGGGAGAGCTGGCGCCATGTTCTGCTCGACGAATTCCGAGCCCGGTGTGCGCCGAGTTTGAGTCGCTTTTTTGATACATTTTCGATCCAAAATGGTGGTGTGGAATATGTGGTAATTCCTATCTCCTTTGTTGTTGTTGTTAATGTTGTTGTTGTTGTTGTTGTTGTTGTCATCGGATGGCCGGGTACCCGTGTATCGCAAACAATCGATTATGTATCGAAAAAGTGACCCGGCGTCATACAGGAGTCTCGGAATTCGGGACATGGAAAATGCTTAAAAGTGGCGCCAGCTCTCCCACTTACATTACGACTCTATGTACTCTATGTGCAGAAGGCGCGATGAGCCGTCTGTTTGTTCGGCCGCGTAGTAATCAGGAGGCGTACCCAGGGCCGGATTTACCGACTCTTGCCGCCCTGTATTTTACCGCCCCCGTCTCATTCGTTAAGTGAACGTGCCGGTGGGGGAGGGGTGTATGAGACGCGTTTACTCGTGTTGGGCACGTTTTTTGTGAAAGCTCTGTCAACACTAACAAAAGTTCACGGAACATGATGCGAAATTTAAGTTTCGTAAACCCATCCCTGCTTGGACAAGGTCTTCTATTCATAACAAACGAACGAAAAAATTATAAAAGAATAAACATAAATATGGTTTAATAATTTTAACTTCCCCCGCTGCGCCGACCGCACTGTGTTTGGCGCAATGCGTGAAGTATTCATGCAGTCTTGAAGGCGCGATGCGTTTCACGCCGATCTCTGCTGACCGCACTGTTTGACGCAATGCGTGAAGTATTCATGTAGTCTTGTAGACGCTATGCGTTTCATACCGACCGCCGCGCCGCGCCGCTCCGTTCCAGGTCAAATTGCGTGTTTGGATTGTAAAGTAATTACTGAGATCAAGCGCTAGGAAATCAGTCGCCAAAACTGTTGAAGAGCTTTACATGTAAACAGAGGATTCAAGGTTAAACGGCCAGACTGCATGAGCATGTTCTATGGTTCAAAATAAGACTTTTTTGATGTATAAAGGTTTTTCCAAAAGTGCCCCCAGCTGGAGCTACGCCCCTCCCCCACCAAAAAAAAAATCGAAAAGTAAATCGTTTTTCCTGAATTTTGGCAACGGTTGTGAACCAAATCTCACAAAAATGTATACTCCCCTGTGCGTTTATGCCCTGAATTCATGAGTGATCCAAAAAAAATCGAAATCTCAATTTAAAGAGGGAGTTTGGGGGTGTTTCGGCTCCTGCAATCTGGCCGTTTAACCCTGGATCACCTTGTATACACTGGCAGCTAAAATTTTATTTCAGAAAAGGGAAGGGCTCCTGAAGCAGCTGCAATGTCTTTCAATTAAAGTGCAAAACGGTGGAACTGTCATAACCGCCGCGACGCCACCAAGTTGTTGTTTTTCATCGCCAGGAGAGCGCCAGTTGCTGCACGCAAATCAAATTAATAGTCAGGCAATAAGTTGTGAGTGCAAAGTTGCGATAAATTAAAGGTGCATGGTCCATTGATAAAAAGATACGTAAATGTGAGAGGAGCGGGTAACGAGTGAAATTCGCATCAATAACCCACAATGACCCCTGGCCGCTCCCTTCCCCGCGCATCCTGTGCCTTGACCCCCTTTTTCGTTTTCACGAGTTGCTGCCTTTGCGCTCATCCGTGATCGTTCTCTGATCTCGTTGCACCTCTGCCCTAAGAGCGTATCTCAATTGCCATGTGAACCTTAATCTCCGCATAACTCTATGCTTTCCGCGGATCATGCTTAAGTAGAGACACGCTCCTTATGTCAGAGAAAGGACGTTGTATGCTGCATAGTGTCACTCTTTCCTCTCATCTATCCCCTCCCCCTCTCTACTATTTCCTCTCCCGGTTCTATCTCGTACACCTCCACTAGACTCCTCGTTCGAGATCTCTGTGCTATGCTGCTTTAACTTCCGGTATCTAAAGTTATTGCGCTAATAAGAAATGTAGATGCTCTCAATTATTAATACGTACCGCATATTCCACTCGCAGCCGGATCTGGACACCTCAAGGAGGGGGGGCGGAGGGAAGCTCCGGGGGGCTTCCCAAAGACAATTTTCGAAATTTTAAAGCATCTAATACGCAATTTGAGCCCATTTCGTCGAGAACAATTTATCCTTTGTCTTCTTCGTCTATTGCTTTCATAGGCTGATCCAGGGGACAAAGGGGTGTAATACGCCCCCCCCCCCCCCCGCGAAAAATGACACAGAAAAAGAGAAGGAAAAAAGAAGGAGGGACCGGAGGAAAGACGTTTACATTTGGTCATTATTCGATACAAAATTGACTCAAACCGCGTATTACATGTTTTAAAAATTCAAAAAAGTTCTGCCCTCCCCGCTCCCCCCGTTCGAGGTGTCCAGGTCCTCCTGATTGCGTTGCCTATCAATTTCAATGATCAAGAGGGGTTGGGAACAATCAAGTAAAGTCCATTTCTAAGTGTTTTTTATGAACATAGATTTATGATAAATGCTGGTCTGGTTAATCTTATTAAAAATTAGAATAAAAATAATTCAAATTGACAAATTAAAGGTTCAAAATGATAATTCGTCACCTCACATGAAATATCTAATCTTACTTATGTCCTGTTTTTGCAAATTTAAATTAAATAGCAGGACAATTAGTGGATTAGGATCTGATGTGAGAAAACCCCTCTGCCCCCCCCCTCCCCTTCTTCTTCTTCCGCGCGAGTCGGACACACGAATGTTTGAACGAGGAAATCGTGGATGAATCGCCGTGATCCATTAATAACTTGAACCCCACGAGAGCGTAGAAATACACGCTCACCAGGGGTCACCACTAATGTGTCGTCACGTCTCTTCGCCGGGAGAGGAACGCAATGAGGCGCATCAATCCACGAGTGAGCTGACTAAACAGACATCATCGTGGGTTTTACAAATTAGAATCCATGTTTTATCGAACGGAACCTGTTCGGGTTTTGGCGAGGAGCGGCGGAGCGGGCAAGGCACCCGATTTAGAGGGCGGGCGACCAGCGGCCCGCCTCTCCGAACGGATTCAACCGCCGTAAATCAGATCCGAGGAGTTTGAAGAATGGCTGCTGTCCTGTCTTGTTGCGTCCGTCGGGCCATGCCTTCGGACGTGCTGTTGCCGTTCCAAGACTCGTGGAACGTAATCGGCACTTGATTTACACTGAAAGTCGCTCGTTTTTACACGGAGAAAAAAACCTCGTGCCGGGACCCGAAGTTTAGGTCGTATGGATCTCTGAAGTTTTCGGATTGAACATTTTAGGTCGAGCTGTCGAGGTTCGGATTACACATCTGAAACTTCAGTTCTTACATCTGAAGCACTTCAGATGTGAGAACCGAAGTTTTTCGGACGTGAAAACTGAAGTACTTCAGATGTAAGGACTGAAGTTTCAGACGTGTGATCCAAACCTCGGCAGCTGGACCTAAAGTGTTCAGATGCTCAATCCGAAAACTTCAGAGATCCATATGACCTAAACTTCGGGTCCCTCGTACGAAGCTTTCCCTCACTCGGAAGAAAGTATCTCAGATCCAGAGTTTTAAAAAAATTGACAAGAAAAAATATTCTAATAGATTCAATCGGATTTTCTTTGAAACAGAAGGAAATCCGTTTGAATGAGAATATGTTCGGAAACATTTTAATGGGGGGGGGGGGGTTGCCACGTGGTATATTTTTTAATTTTTTAAAAGCGTTAATTTACAATTATTCAGGGGTAAAGTTTACGCGCTGCGTCAAATTGGGGAGTTTTGCGAGACAGGTTAGTAATTAAGCACCCCACTACCTCAATAGGTAACCTTATCCGGAAAAAAGTGTAACGGGTTATACCCTTATTTGTTGGATAATATATTTGCTTATTTCCAATTACTTTTGGTGGTACCGCAACATTTGGTTTATAGTGACCTAATTCATCGGGGTACGACCACAAATTAATTGGGGGTACTAGGTACCACAATTAACTAGATCGCATTTTGCAAGAAGGAACTAAGAGCATTCCAATGTTGCTAGAATTGTGCAACTTACATCCTTCGCAATAAAATTACTGAAATCATGCAAAAAATAAAATTTGAAAAGGTAAGTTTCCTTTTGAATTTATAGTTTATTGGAAGGAAAGATGAAACTTGTTTAGAGGATCAGTTTATATTTGCAAGGTAAAAAAGTTGCACAATCCTAGCGACATGGGTATGCCCTTTTTTCCTTCTTGCAAAATGCAATCCAATTAGAATTGTCCGAGTTGGAACTTACCAGTACCTCCTTTTTTCCGTGAAAAATATGAAATTTTCATATTACAAACCTAATAAGTTCTAATTTTAATTTTTAATAATTTAATTTTAAAATTGAATTTTCATCTAGCTAGGCTAATTTGAAAACTGTAAAATGAGGGAGCTTTTCCGCACAAGCTGTCTTATAATTAATTTTTTTTTTTTTTTAAAAAAAACAAAAATTATCTCACTTGCGACGAAATTTTTTGGTAACGGCAAGATACGTTTCGAGCTACGGCTCATCATCGGTGCCAGTGCGGCGTGGCGTGAATTGCGATATCTCGATTGATATGCCTCTTAAACCTATGGTAAAAAATCGATTATTAAGGTGTTCGCTGCGAACACCCTGTTTATCGATCCTTTTCCATAGGTTTAAATGGCATAACAATCGATATATCGCAAAGCACGCCACGCCACTGATCGGTGCGACTCGTGGTCAATGGCACAATGTTGCATGCGTCTGCTGATACCAAAGAATTTCGTCACGAGTGAGTTATGATTTTTTTTATTTTTTTTTATCTTTTTTCAGTTTTTTTATTTTTTTTTTATTTTTTTATCTTTTTTCAGTTTTTTTCAGTTTTTTTTATTTTTTAATTCATTTTT